CCGGGCGGGGCGGGGCTCCTGGAGGCATGTTGCGGAGCTGTGGACCCTTAGCGGAGAGCGTAGGTTCATTCTGGACGAGGATTCCTACCTGGTGCCGGAGCTGGACGGGGTGAGGATCTTCTCTCGTACCACGCATGAGTTCCTGCACGAAATCCCCGGTGAGCCTGCGGGGGTGGGGAGTCGGTTGCTGTTGGACGCGGATTTCCGGATTTCCAAACCCGACTGAGATCCAGGGAGGGAGGGAGAGGGCGGCAGCCTGAGCCACGGGCTCTGTTGGATGCCGGATGGCATGTCCTCGTCGTCCTTGGCAGCCGGCAGCCAGGGCTGGCTCTGGCGGTGAGGGAGCTGATAACCTGGGGTAGAATGTCGAAAAACTCCCTTCCTCCCCCCGCACAGCACGTGCAGCAACCCCTGTTCCTGGCTACTCCGGTCCTGGGCTTCTGTGCAGCCCTGCCCATGCCCCTCAGTCCCAACCCCTCCCCCCTGCTATTCCAGGCCTGGTGCCCCTTCCCCGCCCAGCCCAGCCCATGCCCCTCAGTCCTAACCCCTCCCTGCTATTCCAGGCCTGGTGCCCCTTCCCTGCCCATGCCCCTCAGTTCTGACCCGCAGCACCCCGGCTCTTCTAAGCTGGACCCCTCCTCCCTCTGCTGCTGATGCCGCTGGCTCCTGAGCAGCAGAAGTTGCAGCCGAAGCCCTGCCTGGCTCAGCCATGGCCCCTGCCTGGCCCAGCAGCACCTTCTGCCTCTCCTGAGCAGCCGTGGCCAGGTGTGTCCTGGTGGCTTGGCCATGCGGAGCAATTTCTCCTGGAGGTTGGCCCGAGACCCCGACCGCTCCTGTCGCCTGTCAGACAGGTCACGCTGACCTGCAGTGCCCCCCAGGAGAGCCCTTGTTTCCTCCCTGGTGGTGTGAAGCCAAGGCCAGAAGCCAGGCCCCCTCCTCCCTTCCCTGTGCTGGGGGATTAGGGGAGCTCTGTGTCTCCGCAGAGCGCCCCACGGGGCTCTCCCTTCCCAACGGTCGCTGGCCTGCGGAACACAGCAGGGCGAGGGAATTGCTGCAGCGAGCTGGGAGAGAAGCAGCTCTAGTGGAGAAGAGCCTGGGCTGGAAGTCAGCACACCAGGGTCTGGGTCCCAGCTCTGCCCTGGACTTGCGGGGTGGCCTTGGGCAAGTCACTTCCCTGGTCTGTGCCTCAGTTTCCCTATCTGTGACATGTGGCTGTTGGTATCTGCGTGTGTGTGGCAAGGTCTGTGGAAGATGCATGTGGGGGTGGGCTCACCCAATGGCAGGTGGCTCGGCCCCCGGTCTGGGGCAGCGTCTGAGGATGTTTCGTCCTTGTTTCAGAGGCCAGCGAGGAGATCTTTAAAATCGCTTCCATGGCGCCTGGGGCTCTCCTGCTGGAAGCACAGAGAGAGTATGAGGTAAGGGACACGTCTGCGATGGCATCCTGCCATCTCCCAGCCCCGTCCCCGCCTTCCCCTTGGAAATCAGCAGGGGCAAAGGGGCAGCCAGTGATCCAACGGAGGGGCCAGGGAGGGTCACAGCAGCCAATGGGTCCCACGGAAACCGCATCCATCGCTATGCCAGCCCCTCCGTAGCCCAGTAGCTTGCAGGGACCAATGGCCAAGCCAGAGGGGAGTCTGGCTCCAGACAAGGTGGTCCCTTCTCCTAGGGATCTCTCAGGTACAGATAAATCTATAGATCATTAGCGGTTTGGTCTTAGCCAGTAACAAAATAGCAAGACAGAAGCAGTCAAGCTTGATGGCCTTTATTAATAAAGTTGCCTTTGTTACTTGAGAACAGCGCATGCTAAGAGTGGAAATACAACACCCAGTCCTTGTGCCGACGGCTGGCTGATCCCGGTAACTCAGCAATGCGTTCTGTTCCCGATAGCCAGTGCTGCCTTTCGTACACACGTGGCAGTGGAACATGTTCCCCTTTGTCTGTTACGTGTGGCAAATTCCCAAGCATGTTGCAGTGTCCGGACGTCCCATGCTAACGGGGTCAGTGCATTGGGGGTTGTGATAAACAGGACATTATACTGAGCAACTAAACTTTCCGCTCTCCCGAGCGGTTACACCCCTTCTTGCAAACGATGCGGAAAGCTCGCTAGGGGGTTTGGCCTTTTCTTAGCCATTAAGCCAAGGGGCCTACAGCTGACCTCTGTGACGGGGCTGCGCAGAGACAGAGCAGCACGTCTCGTGCTCCTTGCTCCACCCTCGCGCCTGTCCGCTCCTGCCCTGCTCCGAGGTGCTGGGGCCGGGCTCGCTCTGCAGTCCCTGCGGCCCCGTCCGTGGAGACACCGAGGCGGTTCCCGTTCAGGGTGGGGGTGGGTGTTCTCGATGGAAGGCCTCTGAGTGTGGAATTCAGAGCCCGGGGGAGCCAGCTTTGTGCCCTCAGGGTGGGATTTTGGAGCAGGCTGTTGGCACAAATCTCGCTCTCTGCCCCCCAGCAATGCCCGGTGACGTGCCTGAGCCGCCACTTAACCAGTGCGGGGCAGAGGGGCCCAGCCCTTGCTCTGGAGTAGGTGGCGCCGAGATGCCTGGTGACGGCAGCGTGAGGGAGGCTGGGGAGCACATTGGAACAGCCTCTATTCGGTTCAACGTGGCTCTGGGGGTGCTGAAAACCCAGCCCCCGTCCCCCTTTTCTTTTTAAACTAAGGCTCCTTGAGCTGCACGGGCAGGTGGATTCCCAGCCTGACCCCACCGTGCCGGGTGTGTGGGAAGCACCGGGGCTCCCAGGTCCCCATGCCCAGCTCTTCCCAACCAGGCAGCGTCCCCAGCGGGGAATCCCTGTGTCTGCCCCCTCGGCCCTGAGAGATCCCAGAGAAAAGGGGCTGCCTTTGCCCTGCACCCAGTGCCTGACCCCTAGAGCATGGCCTGGCTTTGCTGCATGTTGCTGGGGCCGGGAGGGAACAGGAGGCCCCTGCGTTCCCACCTGTTGTGGTAAGAATCACCCACGCAGTGATTTTAGTTCACAGACTCAGAGCCTGAGGCCTTTATTGCAATACGTACCAAATGCGTTTGGGGTGCAGTTCGAAAACTGACACCCCGAGGGCCGCTCGCAGGCGGGTTTTTATTTCATTAAACTGCAAGCAAAGTACAAATAATACGTCATGAGTTAAGAAACTGGGGTCGTGAGTTAAGAAACTGGGGTTGGGGTCAGTCCCCCCCCTCCCGGTACCTTCCTCATTATTTTCCGAGAAGTGGGTGTTTATTTGGGTAGAGGGGCGCTTGGCGGTTTTCCCCAGGAGAGGTACTTGGCACCAGTTTGGGTACGTTTCTCGGCAAGGCACATGTTGTTATTTTCCGGGGGTTTTCTGTTAAGGGTTAAGGGGGGGTTACCATGGGACGCCAAAAGAAGATCTATGATTGGCTAATTTTGCAGATAGCTGCAACAGCAAAAATGATTAGCTCTTTGCAAAAGCAATTTCTTAATGCAAGTGGATATTCTATTTTTCGAGCGGTTTCATAAACTTGTGGTTATTATGTTGCTAAAGCAGTTTCTTGTTGTAGCCTTTAGCATTGTTCTGTGTTTTTCTCCGTCCGTCCGTCCGTCCCCGGCCATTACCCTTGACCGAGTTTGGCAGAGAACCGTGTTGTTCGGTCTTGCTCAGGCTTACGCCTGCCCTACTCTGTGTAAAGGCCGTCAGCATAACAGATCTCTGTTGGAGGGTTTATTTCGGGGCCTTCAGATTCAAAGCTCTGGCTATTAAAAAGAAGGCCCCCCTGCTCTATTTCCCCACACGCCTTAGCGACAGGGCGCTTTGAGCCCCGGGCGGGGCGTGTCCCCCCATCAGTGGTCGCTCTGGCTCTAACGCCCTGCTCTGCTAAGAGCCTGGAGGCAGAGGCCGTGCCAGGGACAGGAGCCGCGCTGTCTGCCCGTGCTGGTCGTGGCTCCTCTCCCCGCCGGGCGAAGGTTGCTGTAGCAGAGACGGGCCCTTCAGCTCAGGACGTCCCTGGCCTGACCCGAAGGGTTCTCTCGTCCCCTCCCAGAAACAGAGCCAGAAGGCGGACGAGTACCTGCGGGAGATCAAGGACCAGAATCTGCTCGCGGAGGCGGTGCGGCAGTGCATCGAGGCGGCTGGCTACGAGCATGAGCCGGAAACCCAGAAGTCTCTGCTCCGGGTAAGTGGGGGAGGATCTGGGGTGGGGGGTGTCTCAGCGCCCGTTCCCTGAGCGCCAGCACATCTCTGTCCGCAGGCCGCCTCGTTCGGAAAGTGCTTCCTCGACAAGTTCCCCCCAGAGAGCTTTGTGCGGACGTGCCGGGACCTGCGTGTGCTGAATGCCATCTGGGACTATCAGATCGGCATCCCCCTGACCTTCGCCCAGTATCCTCTGCCGGCCGAGGGGTGGTGTTGCAGGTGGATCAGGCTGGATCCGCTGCGGGAGGGAGTGGTGTGTGTAGCGAGTGCAGGGACAAGGGCCCAAAGGCCCCACCCCAGTGTAACTCCACTGAAATCAGCAGTTACACCACAGATGAGTTTGGCCCTGGGAATCAGGACTCCTGGGTTTCATGTGAGCCCGGGCAAGTCACCTGTTCCCTGTGTGAAATGGGGTGAGGAGCCTCTGTTAGATAAGGAACCGTGGGGGCGTGGCTGGCTGGTTCTTGCTCATGGGCTCAGGGTCTAACTGATCCAGATGCGGGTCGGGGAGCTCAGGTTGGCAGAGACACTGGGGGGGGGGGGGGTCGCCTTGCTCTGTAGCAGGGGCACGGGTCGCTTGCCAGGAGCGTCTGGGCATGTCTCACCTACTCGGCTTCGGGCATTGGTGTCCCCCGGTCCCTCCTGTTCCCTGTCCAGTCTCCTGCGGGTGGTGAGATCTTGGTCTAGTCCCAGCTGTCTGTGGGGGGGGCTGGTGGCCTGTGCTGTGCAGGAGGTCAGACTAGGGCTCTGGGGGCCCCTTCTGGCCTTGCACTGTGAGAAGAACGTACAAGCCGAGGGGGGAGGTGCCGTGACTGCTCAGGCCGTGGGATTGGATAGCTCAGTGGTTTGAGCATTGGCCTGCTAAACCCAGGGTTGAGCAGGGGGTTGGACTAGATGACCTCCTGAGGTCCCTTCCAACCCTGATTTTCTATGATTGTTCCTCGTGGTGGGAGCTGGAACTCGCCAGCACAGCTCAGCCCACGCCGTTCCTTCACCCGGCTGCTCCTTAACAGGTACTGTAGATACAAACAGCTCACCATTGAAGTCCTGCTGGACAGGTAACTGCCCCCTCCTGGCTGCGCGTGGGACCATTGCATCCCCTCTGGCCAGGGCCACAGTCACTTGTGTTACTGCATCAGAAGCCCCTGCTCTGACATTCGGCTCGGACTGGCCCTCCCCGGTTACTCAGCCCCCTCCCTGTGCCCATCTGTCCTCGTAGAAGTGTGGGGAGCGTTGCTGTCTGCGGCAGCCAGGGGTCTCTCGACAAACCTCCACGACACGCACCAGCCTCTGCCAGTGTGGGGCCTGGCAGGCAGCCCCCGCCTAGGGCTGGAACTAGCCTTCAGTCGCCCTGGCTCGTTCCAGCCCTGTCCCTGCTGTAGCTGGGAACAAGGGGCCCAGGCGTCACGGCATCCTGCTACGCTCACTTGCCCACTGGGAAGGAACCGGCCTTGTTCCCCAGAGGCCATCGAACAGTCACTGGGTGGAGACGACTGAGCGCCTGGCCGGCCTGGCTCTGGGCCGAGCACATGCAGGTGGAAGCCCCTCTCTCTCACTCCCTGCTGGGCACCACGGGCTGAATGGACAGGAGATGTCCCTGGCTGGTCCCTGCAGGGCCGGCTGTGCGACCCCACCTGCTCTCCAGTGGATGTGCGGGGGTGGGGCCCTGCGCATCACTAACAGCTGCTTAAAAATAAATACAATTAAAACCCGCAGGCTGCCCCAGATTACTGTTGGCATTCGACCCCCGTTCCCTGGGCTCCCTCGCTGCGTTTACCCCTGTCCCGTTCGCTCCCCTGGGCTGCTTCCCTTCTCCCCGGCAGCGATCGCTCGCTTACCCGCCTCACCAGGCCAGCTGCCGGGGACCTTTCACCCCGAGCATTATGGCTGGGCCCTCTTACAGGGGCATGGCCCTAAATATTTCTCCCTGTCCCCTGCGGGGAAATGGGAACTAGTGTCACTCCCATCATGGCCGTTTACGTGCTGCCCTGGCCAATGTCTAGGGCAGTGCCTAGCAGAGGCGGGTGGGGTGTGGCGGGGAAGGGCTGCTCTGGGGAGCTGGCTGGGTTCCCGGCTGTGCTTGCAGAGCTGCTGGCGTTCTCGTCCGGGGGCGTTTGACGTTCCCTTTGCCCGTGTCTCAGGTTAGTTCTGCGGAGGCTGTACCCCCTCGCCATCAAAATCTGCGAGTACCTGCGCCTGTCGGAGTTCCAGGGCGTCAGCAGGATTCTGGCTCACTGGGCCTGCTACAAGGTAGGCCGGGAAGCCAGAGCGGGGACAGTTCTTGGAGCGCTCCCTTTGGGTGCCAAGAGCTGGGCCCAGACCTCCCCTCCCGCCCTTCCAGGTGCAGCAGAAGGACAAGTCTGATGAGGAGGTTGCACACGCCATCAATCAGAAGCTGGGCGACACCCCTGGCATTTCGTACTCGGAGATAGCTGCCCGGGCATACGACTGTGGCCGGACGGAGCTGGCCATTAAGGTGTGTGTGTGTGTGTGTGTGGGGCGGGGGCTGGCAGGGCTCCCAAACACATGGCATTTGGCAGGGTGGCTGGTGATACCACCTGGCCCAGTGTGCCCCTGTTTAACTCTGCTTGTGGTGCTATTGCAGCATGCGGGTACCTCTCCCGGTAGCGCCCGCTTGCCCAGGGAACGGCCCTGCTGAAGAAATGGAGCCCGCCGGCCCAGCACCCCTACCCAGCACGTGGGGCCTGGGGTCTGGCTTGGCGCTGACCCCAGAGGCCGGTGCACTGAAGGGGCTTCTCTCTTGGGGGCAGGTGCTGGAGTACGAACCCAGGTCCGGGGAGCAGGTCCCGCTGCTGCTGAAGATGAAAAAGAGCCAACTGGCCCTGAACAAAGCCATTGAGAGCGGAGACACAGACCTAGGTACAGCTGTGCGAGGAAGGGCTCCCAGGGGCTCCGGTGGCCAGGTTACGCTGGAGCCTTTCCACTCCAGGCCCTGGCTCCCAACAGGCCCAGGTCTCGGGTGTCTGAGCCATTCGGGGCTGGCTCCAGCGGTCTCTGGGGAATGAGATTGGGTCTCGGGCCCATGTGCACCCCAAACCAGCAGGATCGGAGCCCCCTGTGGCCAAGAACCGAATGGGCCAGAGCCCCCCCCCCGACCTGCCCTCCTGCCCCGAGGAACCCCTCTGGCATGCACTGGCAGGGGGCGGCTCCCCCCAGACTAGCTCAGGGCCAGGCTGAGCTCTGAGCTGCAAGTGATGGTGCCTCCCAGCTTCTCCCCTCCCCCTCCCCACCTCTCTGAGCTCAGCAAGCCCTCTGCACCCCACATTCTGGGCCCCACTGAGAGCTGGCTGGCTGGACCTCCCATGATTGCTGTATGTTGCTCAGCTGCCCTGGGGGCGGGGAGGTCTCTCTGCACCCGTAGCCCCTCTAACGCGCTGTCTCTGCCCCAGTTTACACCGTCGTGTTGCACCTGAAGAACGAACTGAATCGTGGCACTTTCTTCATGACGCTGCAGAAGCAACCGGTGGCTCTGAGTCTCTACCGCCAGGTGAGAGGCCGGTCGCCCCCTCTGTGCCCGTAAGCGGGGGGGAGGGAGGGGCTCATGGGTGTGGTAAGCTGCCAGGGCACTGACTGGGCTGGGCCCCCCGCTGGTGGTGTGAGAGGTGACCGGTGCCGTGCTGGGCCGGGGGGCTGAGCGAGCGGGGCTTCCTGTGACCGTGTCTCTGTAACAAGCCCGTTGACTCTCGTGGGGGTGTCGGCTGTAACCTTGTGTATCATGTCCCAGTTCTGCAAGCACCAGGAGCTGGAGACGCTCAAGGACCTGTACAACCAGGACGACGATCACCAGGAGCTGGGGAACTTCCACGTCCACTCCAGCTACTCCAGTGAGAAGGTGGGTCTCCTCGGAGCTGGCGGGGCCTTGCGGGGTGGAGGAGGGGGCTGCCAGACCCTCTGCTGGCGTTTGCTGGAGGATCCAGCCTCTGAGGAGGGGCGGACGAACTGGTGCAGAGGGATAAAGATGTGCTGAGATGGGAGACGCCTCTGTGCTGCTGGCCTCCCTGCGGGGCGGGGGGAACTCGGGGCGCTGAGGGGGCGCTGGCCTCCCTGCAGTACGGGGGGGACTCGGGGCGCTGGCCTCCCTGCGGTAGGGGTCCGGGGGGAGAAAGCTGCTCACGTGAGGAAACAGAAGGATCATGGGAAGATTGGAAAGTGCTTTCTCCTTAATCCCCCAGCCTTGGGGGGCCGGGCCGGGAGTTGGGTGGCTCCTGATGTGCGATGTGGAGTTGTCCTTCCCCCGAGGCTGGACAGGCTCAGCCTGGGCTGGCCCCAGCCCTTCGGGGCAGGCATAGCTGGGCAAGGGTGTGCCCTGCCTGGCACAGAGCCCGAGTGTCGGCCTGTGGGTTCCCTGCGCAGGGAGCGGGTCCCTCCTCTCCCGTTCCCTGGGAAGGCCCTAGTGTGCTGGGGAGGAGTGCCCGGGAGCAGCCTGGCCCCTCTCCCCATGGCGCAGGCTGGGCAACGACGGGGGAACTTGGGGAGGGAACTGGGCTGGGTGGGCGAATCCCTCGGGGCTGGGGTTCCGTCGGGCTGCTCCGTGCCTCTGCGGCGATCTCTGCCTGATGCTTTGAGCACGGTGAAGTCTCCATGATGCATGTGGGGTGGGTGTAACTGCCCGCCCACCCCCCCAGGTCTGTTCAGCCTCCTAGCTGGTGGTGTTTGCCAGGAGGCTGGGGCCACTAGAGGCGAGTTTCCCTTGACTGTGCGTCTGGGCTCCCAGGAGTTCCCGAACTTGTCTGGCTCCGCTGGGGGGCTGGAAGGGGAATTCGCTGCCCAGGGATACTGGACAATAAGAAGCAGCGGGAGGAGCCCAAGTCCCGGAGCCCAGGCTACAGCTCCCACCCATCGCTAGGTGGAACCGTGCCTGGATAGCCAGCTGCCCGGCCCGTTCCTGTCTCGTGGGCGAGTACTGCAGAATTGGGACCTTCTCTCGTCTGTTTGTCACAAGTCCTGACCCACAGGCACCTCCGCCCAGAAGCGCTGGCTGGCTCACATGGCCGCCCCACCTAGTGTGTGGGGCGGGGAGACTGTGACTAGCCCGGCGGTTGCTGTGTCCCTTCCAGCGGATCGAGGGGCGTGTAGCAGCGCTGCAGAACGCAGTGGACGAGTACTACAAGGCCAAGAACGAGTTTGCTGCCAAGGTGAGCGTGGCTGGGGGCGTGGGGGCATCTGGGTGAGCCGGCAGGGGCCAGCCGGTGCTGCCTCTGGCCAGGCCTGGCTGCAGAGGGCCTTCCTGCCGTAGTTAGGGGCTTGGGGCCTGGCTGGGAGCAGTGCTCGGCACTGCCAGGCGGGGACCCGGGCAGCAGGGGCTGAGGAAGCAGTGTGCTCTGCTCCTGATGGCCCATGGGGCCGAGGGGGCCCTGGAATAGGGCAGCGGGAGGAACTCCCCTTGGTGCTGAGCTGCTTAAAGCACAGCCCGAGCCTTCCCTTGGGAGCCCTTCATGTCTCTGGGGATGCCCTGGGGGGGGAACGCCAGGGGCGGGGTAGCCTTGCTCGTGGAGATGGACGCCCCAGGGGAGAGGTCTAGCCCTTCTGAGGAGCCCAGCCCTGGTGTCTGCTTCACAGGCCACAGAGGATCAGATCAAACTGCTGCGGATGCAGCGCCGCTTGCAGGATGAGCTGGACAAACCCTACGTAGATTATTCCCTGCACGACACCGTCTACGGCCTCATCCTGGACGGCAACCACAAGCGGGCGGAGCAGCTGTACCGCGACTTCCGAATCCCCGACAAGAGGTGGGCGTGGGGCGGGCGGGTGCTGCCCCAGATGAGCCGTTCCAAGTACACGCGGCTCATATCCGGAGGCCCCTGGTCAGAGGCTGGGGCAGGAACCAGGGCTAGGGCAGGGGGCTGGGTTGTCAGCCCTGGAGACTGATGGCCTGTGATTATCACCATCCGTGCGGTGCGGACAGCAGCCGTGGGCGAGCGTGTACCTGTGATGAGCTTCCACTGCTGCTCTCGCCCGGCTTGGGGAGCAGCACTTCTCCGTCCTCTGGCCCCTGCAGCCCTTGGTGCCCTGGCCAGCCCCGGGGAGTAAATACCAGTGTGTGTGGGGGGGGGAATGGGCTTTTTGTTGGGCAATTGGACCTATTATTATTAATCTGTATTGCCACAGTGCCCAGGGGCACTGCACAAAC